CACGACTTTAGCCAGCATGGTTCTGAATGGCTTGGACAAAAGTCTTTGGAATATAGAAAACTTCCTTTTGCTGAGTCAAATCCATGTGGGCTACTCTGGTACGCCCAGGCAGAGGCCGAACATGGGCTTCTTATAGGAGTCTTTTTTTTACCCTGCCTTGCTGCCAAGGACCTCCTGGATGGGACTGTTGACACAGAGAACAAATTCTATAGGGGACAACGTTAATTGGGGTCCTGGGCAGTTAGTTTAGCAGAGTCAACTAATGCAGGCCTCTTGGATTAAGAAGTTAAGGGCATCACATCCGCTTACTAACTGCCCAAGACCCCCCCAATTAATATTGCCCCATTATAAACCCTCTGCTAAGTGTTTAGCATAGGTGATAACCGTCCTCACTGGAAACAATCGGTTGTACTTCTTTCGGAGGAACTGCCACTTTCTTTGAAGCATGCAAACTTTCCAGGGCTTTTCCAAGTTTGTTTTTGTTCTGGCACAGCATCCAAGCCACCACTTGGGATGAGAGGTATTCACTCTTGGGCATAGGTTCAAAGATCATCACGTTCATGGATGCTGGTGCAGAAGTATCAGGTTTATAACAGCTTTTCATCATTTATATGTTTATCCATTAGTTGTATTTACAGTCCATCTTTCTCTCAGTAAGCATAAGATGACATACTTGGCCCTCCACTAAGCAAGCACCACATCACATTGGCATTGATGCTGAGAAGTATGAAAATGTGATGAGGTTTTGAATGCATAGTGAGCCAGCCGTTCCTGTAAAGCTTAAACCACAGCAAAACCAGAATCCTACTGGTGTGTGTATATACATTTTTGTAACTTACTGCAGCTAAATTGAGCTAATTGTCTTGGATGCATGCCAAACAAGATGCACCCAAAGATCTTGTTAATTAGCCACAGCCAAATTTTACTCAAACTCCAATAGATTTGGGCCACTGAAAAACACTGCTAATAACTAGGAAGATACCCAGCTGTACAAGGGAACACGCTGATGTGCAGCGCACCAGGTTAATCAAGTCTGCCATGCCTCTAATTTGCCAGAGGTGATGGGTTTTTATCTCAAAGGGTGTGTCTCCTGTAGCACTTTTGTTTCTGTATGCCTGTTTATAGCTATGTGTTTTTCCCCCATTAAAAGGGGAAAAATCTCTTTGCTGAGAGTGTTTCTTGTGTAGGTGTATCTACTATAGTTATTTTCTAAAATAATGGTTACTGAAATAATTCCCAACTTACAACAGCTTTTTTAAAAATGAAGCCTAATTAGTTCTTTCTCTGTGGACCTTTTTACCACGTGTTGTCATTAATTAACGTTAGACGTCATTCATGATCAGTCAATATATGCAGATCAAAGTCAATGTCTGTTGTAGCAGAAATTGAGAAATAAGTGCACGCTTACTAATTATGATGTTGGCTTTTTAATAGTTTGGGAACCTTAATTATAAGTGATACGAACTGGACTTCATTGAGTCTGCTGGGGGTGCTTTGAAGATGAACAGTGGCTGGCATTTTCTCACAACTCTTACATAAATCACTTCTGGGGCTAATTGAGTATCAGCTTTCAAAAGGTGATGTTTTAACAGACTTTGAAACCTGAAAAAGCAAGTTCTGTCTGGCGCCACATGAAAGAGGCAGAGAGATTTGGGATTTTTCAAACCCCCCCCCCGTTTGTTTCACTTCTGATTTTTTTGAACGTCTCTGCAGAAAAAAAAAGTTCTTATCTGTAGGCGGGATACATTTGAACAGCAGAAATATGGGATTCAATCCTTCCTTTTAATTAGCAGGCTGTTCTAATGCACCTTTTCCCAAAGCGCCCCTCAACTCCAAAGGCTGAAATTCCTAAAGTTAACAATGCTTTTTCAGATTCCAGAAGCAATGGCTTTCGGGGGAGGTCAGACTCAGAGAGAAGCAAGAAGGGAACAAACAGAGGAAAAACGCTGTCAACTAAACAAAATCCAAAGCATTGCCAAGATGTTAATTTAATAAATCGAGAAGAATTATTACCAATGAATTAGGCAGGAAGGATTTTTTAAAAAAGCAAAGTGGAAAAGGGTACAGATCTATGGCATAATTACACAATGCTGTGCTTGTCCCCCCCATCTAGCTGCTTTAATTGCTTTTCTTAAGAACATAAACTTTAGATTTTGAAAGGATGTATGGCTGTCTAATTAACTGTGCAGTTTTGCAACACTGCCTTTGCCGTGTCTTCTTAAGAATAATGGAGAAAAGAAGTTACCCAGACATTTATTTAAGCCACAACACGGGAGTATTTTTTTGTGGTTCTGTAACCACAACCTCCATCTGTTTACAAATACCACCTTTGGAAAAAACGGCACAAATTCATTGTGCAAATATTAGGGGGCGTTTCGGAAACAAGTTGTTAGTGCAATTTATTTCATTTTGTTACATTTATGTCCTACTTTGTCTCATGAGTTCAGGATGCAAGATACATGGATTCCCTGTTTATCCTCAGAAAAAAAAAGCACTTTGAATTAAAAGCAAAATCTTGCTGCTTAGACACAGTCCCACCGTGCTTAAAGCACTCCCTGGGCAGCTTACAATTTAATTATGCAGGCTACACATTGCTCCTCCCACCCCAGTGACCTGGGTACTCAATTTATCAACCTTGGAAAGATGAGTGAATTTTTAGTTGACAAACTGTCTTGGAAAGATGAGTGAATTTTTAGTTGACTAACTGGGATCATGAGCAGAGTTTTGGCTGCAGTACTGCACTTTAACCACTGCATCATGAAGTTCAAAAGCAGAATGTTATTCAAACAAAGCACACACATACGTACATCAAGACTGGGGGAGTGTCGCTAGCCCAAACTTACTCCGCAAGATTCCTGGGCAGGAAATTCGACAGCACTTGAACTGTTGGCTGAAATTCTGCTGCTTAGTGTAGTCAGTCACACCAGAGCAGGCACACGGGATCAGTGGGTATTTAGTGAGTCAGTTCCTTCATATGTTTCATTGATTCAAACGGACCTATTCTAGTTGTGACTTGCTATGCTAAAATAAGTCAAAACTAGAGTAGGCCCATTTGAATCCATGGAACTAGCAGAGGAGTTAACTCACAAACGCCCACTAAGTGGGCCTACTCTGCTGCAATTTACTACACTAAAAGCATAAGGATTTCGGCCAACGTCTCCAAAGTTCTAGTGAGTCCACTAGACTCTCACATATAGCCTCACAGGATGTGTATATCCCTCCCACTGGTGTGCCAGGAAAAGCTGAATCTTGCATCTATCGACATTATGCAAATATAGCAAATACAGTGGTGCCCCGCTTTACAATTACCTCGTTAGACAAGGAAATCACTTAACGATGAGTATTTTGCGATCGCTATAGCTACCGCAAAACAATGTTTGTATGGTTTTTTTTCATTTAACGATGATCGGTTCCCTGCTTCGGGAACCGATTTTTCGCTTAACGACGATCAAAACAGCTGATCATCAGGTTTTCAAAATGGCCACCTGCTGTGCAAAATGGCTCCCCGCTGTGTTTTGGGACGGATTCCTCGCTATACAGGCACCGGAAAATGGCCACCCTATGGAGGATCTTTACTGGACACTGAGGTATTTCGCTAATTGGAACGCATTGAACCGGTTTTCAGTGCATTTCAATGGGTTTTTAACTTTCGCTTGACAACGATTTCATTCTACAGCAATTTTGCTGGAACGGATTATCCTCGTCAAGCAAGGCACCACTGTATTTATGTTTGTGCTTCATTTGAATTACACTCTGCTTTTACTAGTCATGAGGAGGGGCAATTATCTAATCAAAATTGATGCCCTCCCCACAGTGTTTCAACAATTCCTGCAGGCAACAACCAACACGCGCATGCACACACCGACACGCACCAAGTGTATCTTGGCTCCCATAACTGAACATTAATATAAAAGAAAATGGAAGAGGAGATTCCAGAGTTTGCAGCAGCATGAAATTTTGTTGGGTGTCTCCTGTGCTTGTCAGGAAATGTAGAAGCCCAACTGTTCTGCAAATGGAAAAGCTTGAGGGTTTTTCCCAGGGAGGAGTTGAGTTTGATCTTTCCAGTGCCCTGAGAATACCTTTAAATGGGAAATGTAAACGTTTACATGGGGAGGAATTGCACACAGAAAACATATTCTGTTTGCAAGAAAGACAGTGAGGGAATTCCATTTTATTTTCATTAAAAATGGAACTGTTGAATTGTTTAACAAATGCAAGACGCCAGTATAAACTTGTACAAAAGACAGTTAGGAATTCAACTAGCTGGCTAGCTGCAATTCCAAAAAAATTCATTGCTATCAAGCTAGAAAGGAAAGCAGCCTCTCCTGAAAATCAGCAAAGAGTGAGATTGGCAGATGATTAAGAGGCTGAGAAGAATGGAGGAATAATGCCATTACTGTAGAAGCCCAGTTCCTCTATAATGCCCACTTGATTTCGGAAGTCCAGGGGATTCTGACATGGGTCTCTGAGCAAGATGTTAATAGTGGGCCTTGGTCTTAATCCTTTGAGGGTGTCCAGAGTTAAAACTGATCCCATGACTTGTGCTCTCACCCCTTCTGGAAATTCTGGAAGCAAGCATAGGCTTCCAGTTGTTGCTACCAATTTTGCTTTGTTTGGCACCCAATGTTGCTTGAGGACAATCATCAGAGGTAGAGGACACTGAATGTACAGAGATCCAGGTAGTCCTTTTTTGGACAACAACTCAGCAGATGTTGGGCAGCTGGAATAGTTACTTGTTCAGACTTCTGTGGACATAGCCCTTGATCAGCTACTGGAAATACAACAGTGGCAGACTCTCCTGGAGAAAGTGAAACTAAGGCCCACCCAGTGTTCAAAAAGAACGTGCTGCATTGCAACTCCCAGAAATCTCCAGTCAGAAGCAGCTGCAGCTGGATCTCATTTTCTCCAGAGGAATCCTCAGCTGGCATCTCAGCTGGAGTTGATCAACCATAAAAGCATCCATCTTCCAGAGACGTTCTAAGAGAACTCCGAACCTACATGAACATGAGTCTCTCTCCTACTGACCATACTCCAGATCTCTCCGAGGAACCTTTCTGTGTCTCTTTTCTCCAGCATTTGAACCAGCTTCGCTGTGTTTCCAAGGTCTGTGACAGTAGCAGGGGCTGCTGGTATCAGGAATCTGGGGGGGAGCACCCCTCTCCTGCTCCCCTCCCTATCTGTGATGTATGTGCCACATGGGACATGGCTTCTGAGAGTAGAAGCGAACTAGGAGGTTCCCCACAATTCTTCTTGAGGTGACTTTCTTTTCTGCTGTTGGAAGCAGGTGAGTCAGCTTTGAAAAATGAGAGAATCAAAGAATGGTTAAAGCAGGAGGGGGCAACTTGAGCTCCCTAGAGGTTCTTGAGCTCCAGCACCCACCGTTGACGATGTTGGCTGAACAGAAATGAAAGGGTATCTGGAGAGCTGAAAATTGCCGACCTCTTCCCTTAAGTGGAAGGAGATCTACCCAGGATGGCTGCAAGTGCCTGATTTATCAGGTGCAATTAATAAATTGTTACTTAGAGTTATTTGAGTTCTTCACTGTATCCAGGCGAAGCTGGCAGATCTGAAATGGACCCATGATGGATTTGTTCTGACTAGCATGGTTCAGAAAGCCATTTTACATTTTATTTACTTGTGTTTCCTATCCTCTGGCCCCATATGAAACACAGGCTTTTGGGAGCATAGCCAATTTTGCTCTGTGTATCCAAATACTTTAATGTGCAGCTCTGTGCTGTCAATGTGTCGGGAGACCCAGATTGCCTGCAGGCTTCCTCCCAGTCAGGGCAGTCACTGATCTGTGAGTAGTTCATACAGGCTTACAGTTTTCCCCTTGGGTCACCTCTTGCAGGGGGTGGGTCGGTGGGTGGGTGGGTTCTGCTTCCTTGGTAGTAAAGCTGATGTCAGCCTCTCCTTCCCTTCTATACCACAAATACAAGGGACACTCCTGTTTGTTCCCATAAGCACCAAAGCCTTAAAGGCTTTCTTCCTGTTTACTAGCCAGGAAAACATTTGAAATGCATGTGGAACAGAGAGGCACTGGGCAAGCTGAATTTTACCTATGAAGGAGTTCAGCATACAGTAGTTGCTTTTTAATTATGTGATACTTTAAAAATATAGCTTGATTGCATATTGACTCAAATCCTATTTTCGTTACAGCTGTTGGTGTAACCAGTTGGTTTGCCACAAATTCAGTTGGTGTAACCCTTTGTTGTTATATTTCAAGTTTTGCAAGCTGATGTGTGATAGCACATGTCTATGGAAACCTCTTAACTTGCAGCAATTTGATGGTTGTTGTGGGTTTTTCAGGCTCTTTGGCCGTGTTCTGAACGTTGTTCTTCCTGACGTTTTGCCAGTCTCTGTGGCCGGCATCCTCAGAGGACTGGAGTAGGAACTCTGTCCATGCTCTGTTGCTGTTTGTTGGATAGTTGAGTAGTTATAGCTGTGGGAACAGCTTTTGTCTTTTTTCAGGAGATAGGGTGATCAGGATGTTTTTGTTGTGATAAGTGGGGGAGAGATTATCTGTCACTGTGATTGATGGGTGTAGTTAGCTGGTCTTTTTTGTGCAATGATCCCTGGCCTTTGTGGCTGGGCTAAGGGAATCCAGGCTGCCCTTTGCAAAGGTGGCAGCTGCGGCTTTGCTACCCTAAATGAAGCTGTGGCCACCATCTTTGCAAAGGGCAGCCAGTCTCCATTTTTACATGTGTGGCTCTGAGGCCGGAAGACCTCAGCAGCAGCGATTAAGGTAAGAGGGTGTTGGTGGCGGTGGCATGGGGCCTAAGGTAGGGAAAGAAAGGGGGTGGGGGGTAGGCTGTGGTATTGGGTGGCTGTCTCGGGTGGTCGCTGCCAGAATGCTGTTTTGTTTTTGTTTTTTAATATCAAGGACGAATAAAAAAGGGTAAATATTCATCCCTTCTTATTCATGGGGGTCTCTGGAACCCACAAATACAGATCGACTAATATTTAACAAATCAGCTATACAGTATTGGGTAGGGAAAGGAAGGGGGTGGGGGGTAGGCTGTGGTATTGAGTGGCTGTCTCGGGTGGTCGTTGCCAGAATGCTGTTTGTTTTGTTTGTTTTTTAATATCAAGGACGAATAAAAAAGGGTAAATATTCATCCCTTCTTATTCATGGGGGTCTCTGGAACCCACAAACACGGATTGACGAATATTTAACGAATCGGCTATACAGTATTTGTCGGAAAAAGCGATCTGTTTTTATATTTGTCCCCATCTCTAGTTAGAACCTATGCCTTGAGTTCAGCCTGGAAATGGATGCAGGAGCCTGTGGATCTCCTGTAACAGGTGGGTTATGAGGTCCCTGTAACCAGCCTCAGTCAGCAATCTGGCTGCTGCATTTTGGATCCACTGAAGTTTCCTAATACTTTCCATAGGCGACCACACATAGAATGCATGTCTCACTGTGGCCAGATCAGATCTCTCCAGGAATTGGGCGCAGTTGGCACACTAGTTTTAATTGTGCCAAGGCACTCCTGGCCACCGCCAAAACCTGGGCATCCGGACTCAGAGACGAATCCAGGAGCACCCCCAAGCTGTACACCTCTGTTTTCAGAGGGAGTGCAGCCCCATCCAGCACAGGGCTGGGCTTACCAGTTCAACCTCCCTAGTGAGCTTCCATGATAGATAGGCATCCTTCAGTCTCGAAAGACTATGGTAATGTGCTCTATATGGAGAACTTGGAACAGCGTCTAGTGTGGCTGAAAAGGCCGATTTGAGAGTGACCATCCCTTCCACACTGAAGACAAATCCAATCTGTCCCCTGTCCAGCTCCCTGCTTTTGCTGCTTTCGGGACTTCCTCTTTGCCTCGGCCTGCTGGACAAGGGTCTCTTCAAATTGGGGGAGGCTGTGATGCAGTGCCTGCCTCCAGGCTGAACGCTCAGATGTCAGGTTTTCCCATCTGTTGAGGTCTATTCCTAAGGCCTTCAGATCTCTCTTGCAGATGTCCTTGTATCGCAGTTGTGCTCTCCCTCTGGGGTGCTTTCCCTGCACTAATTCTCCATGGCTGAGCAGGGATTTGAAATCTAAACCTCCTGAGTTCTAATCCATCACTCTGTCCATTGCACCACACTGGGTACCCAAAAGAGATCATACTCAAGCTTAATAACAACACAGTGTGATTTTCCTGTGTACCTCTTAAATAAAGATGTGCAAGCGTTTTTAAGTGGCCAACATAGCAATTAAATAAAGCATTTCAGTGTGTCTATCTAGACAGTCTCTAGTTTACTTACACCCAAGAGGCTCTCTTAGTGCAGATGTCTCTGTGGGTCTGCTAAGAGATGTCCATGGAAGAATAAAGCTGAAATGGTGGAATTGGCAGAATTGGGAAAATACCTGACATGAGACAAGGGCATTTAAAAGGCAACCAAGGGTGGAACGATATAAGGTTACGCACTGCCTTTATGAGGATCTCCTGACTCTGGCATCAGGCTTTTAACTTAATTTTTGCTACTGTCTGCTCTGGTGTTGCTAGCTGTCTGTCTGCATTAAGCTAGTGGTGACGTTGTTCTTGCCTTTTTATTGAATCTGGAACTGCCTTGTGGCACAAGATGCTTTGGATTATAGAAGTAATATGAGAGATGTTCTAAATCAGTGGTTCCCTATCAGTAAGACAAATGCCACTGAAAGTAGTCTAGGTCTATCATCATGCCACCTGATATCACCTGATGCTGGAAGCTAAGCAGAGGCAAGACTAGGTAATCCTTGAATAGGAGACCATCCGTATGTGCCTGGGATTTCCTGCTGTGGCTAAGAAAGGAGCCTATGCAAAAGTCTCCAGAGCTGTTGCTGCCAGTCAGAGTTTGCAATGTTGGGCTATATGTTCCTAGGTGAGATCTATTTCTAGGCACAATTAAAAGTGCTGCCTTTAATCTATAGAGCCCCAAATAGCTTGAATCCAAGCTATAGTATCTCAAGGACCACATCTCCCCTTGTGAGCCTGCCTGGGTGTTAAAACCATCTATTTATCTACTGGCGTTTTTACATGCTTTCGAACCGCTAGGTTGGCAGGAGCTGGGGCAAGCGTCGGGAGCTCCCTCCGTCACGTGGATTCGATCTTACAACATCTTCTGCCATTTAATTCTTAAGAAATCATTATTCCTCATAGCCCATAATGAGGTTCATGCCAAAGGCAGATGATTCAGCAGGGAAGGAGACTGACACCGTTCTTAATGGGGAACAAAAAACTGTATTCCGTCTTGGAAGACGTCCTGTAAAGTCTTAGTATTTAATCCACAGCATGTGCACGTCTCTCTGCATCTGTCGAGGGCCTTGCTTTGTAAAACCCCATGGACCGAAAGCTGACTGCCCTCAAACAAATAAACAAAACCTGGCAGAGACCACTCAACCTGCATGCCTCTCTTTCATTTTCATTTTCCTTCTTTAGGGCCATTATTGATGGGGGAAGGACACTGTGCGGGAAGGCCCAAAGTGCCCAGAGGCGGCTTCTTTTTCTTTTACCTCTTGTAAAAAATGAATGTTTCTTTCTCTTGAAGGAGGACAGTTACTCTTTAGTGCATTTTATGGACTTGGCACAATGCACAGTACAATGTATGACCCTGGTTCCTTATTTTTTTTTTAAGTCTGGCAGCAGGGAAGTGATGTAGAAAGCAATTTCTGTCTGTAAGATTATTTGATAGTTATACTAGCAGAGTCTAGCTGGCTAGGATTGAGCGGATGGCTATTAAACAGGACTAATTACTCTGTATTTAGGTAAGAACTGAAAGCTTACGTTTCTTGTATCTTGTATTCAGAAAGGGCAAGCGTGCTGGCCGGGGGTCCCTGGAGTTGGCTTCCATGCATGGGGATGTGTTAGTAGCCAGTTATGAGTGAGGTGCAAGATCTCAGTTTTGCTTGCAAATGAATGTTGAGACCAAAATAAATAATAATGCCAATAAAAAGCAGAGAGCTGGAAACCTTTGATCATGTAAATGGAAAGACAATATAAAGATTATTACAGCTTTAAAGTAAAATAAATGAGAAAGTGCAGGAAGAAGAAAGAGAAATGGGCAGAAACATATAAACAGACATTCACTCAGTCAGACGCTGCCTCATCTACTCCATTCGTTCATTCTTCAACTCGGCTAAGGATGCTGCCTTCATCTTCTCTGTAAACACTCCCCACCGGCAGGCTGTGATGAACTGGGGCATTTTTAGTCTCGCCCTTGGGTAAGGAGGAAGGCAGGAGTTTGCTGTGGGGCAATGTCCTGTTTACCAGAATTGACCAGCCTCCATTGTTTGAACATCTCTCTTGAACATGCCAGGTA